AACTATTCTGAGAGTACTACAGTTTTATTGGCAGCTGAAAGCTTAATTAAAATTAGCCTCTAAAGTTAACTCCCCGTCAGCGTTTTTTTTTTTTTTTTTTAAGTTGCCAGTTCACCGCCAGCAATTTTTAACATTTCCACGAAACTTTCATGGGCCCCATAATATTTTGTTGCATGAATAACTTCAGTTTTTCATTCTGGTTCTTATGAGAGCATCTGGAGATTTGGTTTGCTGCTCACACTGCACCCATTAAATATAACTATAAAAAATAAAAGAATAATAGAAATAATAGTATTAATGGACTTTTTAAAAAATAAAAGAATAAAAAGAATAAAAAAATATTTTAAAAAATTGAAATAAAAAGTGAGTATTAAATAAAAATACAATTATTTTATAGCACACTTAAAAAGTGCAATGCTAATATTTACACTTTCTTTTATAAATTTTTTTTACTTTTTATTTTTATATGAATTTTCATCATTTTCAAACCTAAAATCAGCAAGCTTTTATTTTGGCGGGTTGCTGGGAAGTCAGATTTATGCTTTCGGTTCGAATGGAAATCTTATACAGTTTATTAGAGTTAGTCGATCTAAAACGGTGATTGTGCATGAACAGCTGTCAACCATGTCAGTACACAAATGAGTGGCGCCTCCTACTGTATAACAGTGAAAACACGGAAAGCTGGAAAATTCCCTTAATGCTGGGGAAAGATTTAAAGGGACAGTTCACCCAATAATGAAAACTCTGTTATCATTTACTCAAACTTATGTCACTCCACACATATACGAGTTTCCAATTTCTGTTGAGCACAAAAGAAGATATTTTAGAGAATGTTGGTATTCAAACAGTTGACTTTAGCCATTGACTTCCATAGCAGTTTTTCCATACTATGGAATTCAATGGCTACCGTCAACTGTATAGTACCACACTAACATCCATTCAGATTTTGCAACTGCACAGCAACTCCCACATACACATGACAGACCCAGGCATCATGCTGGTTAGTTTTGATCTGGTTATCTGGTTAGTGCTAACCTCTTTTTCTGTGTTTCCCACAGCGATCAGAGGAGCGGCTGCATGCAGCGTCTCCAGTATATGGCCATTGAGCGTCACGCTGTTTTTTACCGTAATCATCGGTCAGAGGTGACGCTCCACGTGAGAAAAGACTCCAGACGCGTCCCTCAATATTTAACCACCAAAGATTCATGCTTTCGGATCGCAGAGGAGGCACAACAACAGATCCACGCGGAATGAAACGACCACAAACGGAAAAGTAATAACTAATGCTTAAAATAATAAATAAATTAACGTTCTCTGCCGAGATGCTCCAATGTCTGGAATCAACCGAGGATTTGAACGTTGACGTCAAAAGCACAACGAATACTTCGCAATCTGGATTTACCTGAAAGACAAGCGAAGGCAGTTTCGTGAACGAACATTGAGTTTTACACACCATTCCCCTTCCTTTCTTTTCTGGTGCTTTGGAGTAACATCTCATCCTCTGGTTGCTCTTCTCTTGATTTGTTCTGGGTTTGGTTCGGATCGGTGCTTTAAAACGCAAATAAAACAGAACCTCGTTTCGCTTTATTCCCCGACTCCAGTAGCAGGCTGATTTCTCAACACTGTGCTCACGTTCTCAAGCGGAGAACTTTGCGTTTTTTGGCATCCGTGACGGTGAAAAACTCGGTTTGTCGTCGTTCCCGGCACCGGCTGAGTGACAGAGTTTCTGCCATTTAAAAAAAAAAGTGCCTTCAGGTTAAAAACCGATCCGTTAGCCTGGCCATCGACACCAAACGTCCATGTTTCTAACATCTGCGATGGGCTATTTTATACTCATTTCTATCGCCCCTCAAGTGCTGGAATGCGCGACTGCGAGCGTCACGTACGAATAATCGCGAACGCGCGATGTTTGGCTGACGGAGGACGATGTATGGACAAATGTCACGCTCTCCATCCCCGGCTATCATGCCTCTGTCATTTATATACCGAACAATGTGCATTCTGAAAGAAAAATACAAAATATTCATAACTATAATAATATTTTATTACTCTATCCAGAATGTGTCTCAGCTTTTACAAACGAACTGTGAAAATTGGTGGCGGTATCTACCCGAGCGCTCGACCGGCCGCTTTTTAAAAAGGGTGTTGTAAAAAAAACAAAAAAACGTGATATGAAAATGTTTTGACAAGAAGCTGTGTCTCGTTTCTTCTGATTTACGTTGAAATGTTCCGATTTTACTGTCTTTATTTCTCGTCGTCTCCCTTGCATTGCTGAAAATATCAAAAACGGGCAGAAAGACGCCGGTTTGGTAACTGTACAACTTGTATATGTAAAGAAGCTCTGTTCATTGAGATTTATATGAGATGTTTTATGTACGAGTCAAAGGAAGCACAACATTTAGGATTCAGTCATTTATAAACATCATACATGTGACCGTCCTCCTGCAAAACCAGCGTGAAAATAAAGTGACGCCGGAAGCTGACTTTCACTAAGAATTGAATTACAAAAAAGAATTAAAATGGACTTTGCATTGGGCTGCTTTAGAATAAATTTGCGCATAATGGTAATATTGCTCATGCATATGGTTAAAAACAAAATAGGATTTAAATTACTGGCCCGGAATACAAAAACATCACAAGCTGATTAATGATACTCAAAAGTCATTTAAAGAAATAGTTCACCCCAAAATAAAATGTGCTCCAAGATGTACTGTAGATGAGTTTGGAGAAATGCAGCATTGCATCAGTTGTTTAGAGCTGTTTAAACGCTGCTTGATCTGTGCAGATTTCTCTCCTGATTCAGAACAGAACACTGACTCACTGGAGGAAGAGTTATTATGGATTATTATCCAGCTAACAGGGAATGTTCTGAACAGCTGTTCCTCCAGTAACAACAGAACATTCGTTCAGAGTTATCTGGTCTTTAATAATGTTCTTAAAACGTTATTTATACATTGTCCATGGAACAGCATTTTAGTTGGACGTTCGTGTAACGTTTTTTAAACGTTGCTACTTGTTTCAGAACATTCCAAGAACATTCAAAAGTAACATTCCCATAATGTTTGCAAAATGATACAATGGAATGTTTCCGTAATGTTCATATACAAACAAACAAGCAAAAAAAAAACATTCTTTAAAGTTTGTCAAAACCTAAACAAAATATTCTTAGAACATTTTGCTGGATGGAATTATGGATTATGAACTCAATGGTATTTTAGTTAAAAGCATCTCAATGCTGGATTAGTTTCAGGTTTTGTCTTCTCCAGATGTTAACTGATGGACTGGAGTGCTGTGGATTACTTGTGGATTATTGTGATGTTTTTATCAGCTGTTTGGACTCTCATTCTGACGGCACCCATTCACTGCAGAGCATCCATTGCTGACACACTGATGCAATGCTACATTTCTACAAAGCACATTTTCAGATAATGTTCATTTCTAAGTGAAATACTCCTTTAAAAGTGAAGTGTGTTGTTGTTTAGGGTATTTGGGTGTCTCTTTGTAAAACCCATTTGGTTTTATTTTAGATGAATGATGGTGCGATGCAGCAGTTGTTGATTATGTAGACGTGCGTCACCTCAGTAGCTGTTTCATAATGGAAACGTTTCATATTCTGCAGTGCTCGCTGTAATGTACCATTTCCTTCCTTGTGCCCCAAAACAACCTTTAATTTGAAATCAGCAGGAGGGTAAAGAATGAGCCGAGTGCATAACGAAGCGTGATTATTCTCCTGGTTTTACTGCAGGACGTCACATATATGTGCTGGTATATGCAGTGTACCATAGGTCTAAACAGAGTCACTTCATGATGTAAAAGATTCATTCACAGTACAATGACTGACACTTGTTACAGGACTTCAGAATCATCCGTCTAATGAATCCCGAGTCACATATACAGGTCAAATACGATGAGTCTTGATGTAAAAAATGAGACATCAACAATAAAGGAAATACTAATGATGTTAATTAAGGGCTAAAGGCATCTCAGCTTGTTTCTGTGTGAGCATGTACTACATGAAAGCTTGTGTTATTATTATTTGCCAAAAGAAGTCATGGATGTCATTTTTTTTCCGAGTTGGGCGATGTACTGAATGCATTTGTGATGATCTGCTGGTGAAAATGAACTGGCATTGTGAGTATTGCAGTGATTTTAAAGCACTTTTTGTTTGATTCATTCGAGTGAATCACTTCAAACTGTCCGATTCCTCAGTTGCTTTAAAAGTCATTTTCTTACATTCAAATGTTTTATTAAAAATGCTATGTACTGTAGGTAAATATTGCTGTTTATTATTCTGTGTTGTTGGTGGTGTGTATAAATGAAAATGATTCAGTATCATTTTTATTTGTGTTCGTTTAGTGAGAAACTGGTGCAAACATGCCTTGATTGTTTGAATTAGATTTTTACTGTTTTACTTTTAGGTTTAAACTTTTATATATTGAGTATTGTCTGAAAATTTTTGGGATAGTTGTATCGTCCAGCTCGAATGCCAGGATAAAATTTTGATAGAGTAACATTTGGTTAATTTAGCCCTCTTATTGCAAAAAAAAAACTGCATACACTTTTTTTTGCATTTCTTGGTCGATAGAACACGAGGTTATATAACATTTTTTAATTGAGTATTGTCTGAAAATTTTTGGGATAGTTGTATCGTCCAGCTCGAATGCCAGGATAAAATTTTGATAGAGTAACATTTGGTTAATTTAGCCCTCTTATTGCAAAAAAAAACTGCATACACTTTTTTTTGCATTTCTTGGTCGATAGAACACGAGGTTATATAACATTTTTTTTTAAATTTAAATGTTACAGTGTTTGAAAATTAGAAATTTCGAATTAAAATTTTAAGTTTGAAGATTTCAAACTTTGTAAGAACTACAGCGAAACCACTGCAATGAGAGAAAATATATACTGTATTTTTTCCAATAGTCGTGAGAAATTTTATTTTATATCTCAGAATTCAATTAAAACCATTAGAATTAATAGAACTTAATTAAATTCCTTTGAACTTATAAATCATGCTGCTCAAAAACAGTCCAAATTTATAAAAACCTGCACATTCTTTTTCTTACAAAACAACATAAATATTACTCTGGAATGTGTTCAGACAAAATATATTAATTTTACTTGTATAAAACTTTGAGTTGTAGATGATCAACAGCCTGAATGTGGACTTCTCTTTCAAACTCACTTTCTTCATCAAATTGAGTCTGTTTGGTCTTGAGCTTTTGCGCTTCATCTCTTTGGGCTGTAGTTCTTCAGATATTGTTTATTTACATCACTTACATCTTTTGTCTCTTTATAGTGTTTTTGAGTGTGCATAGTCAAATTTACCAACAAAACTCAGACCTAAAAGTGTGTGTGAGCCACAGAAAAGAGGTTTAAGTAATTTGAGACAAATAAAAAAATAAATCATGTGTAAAGCCATGCACAGTTCACTGACCCGAACGCAGAACAATTTAGTTTAAATGGTTATATCTCTTTAAAAAATGTGAAAAAAATAAATGATGTGTATTTTTATATTCTTCATCCATATGCGAAGCTTTTTTCCTGAACTAACAACAATGGTATTTTTAGAAATTTTTATGCACCGCTTTTTTTTTTAATGCAGATGAAGGGTGTTTAAGATGTGTTTACAGTAGATCAGTGTAAACGTAAGTTCTGATCTGATGTCCTGTAACAGCCGTTCAGTCATTATACTCACTCAATATCCAATAATGCTTCCTTTCACTGTATTTCTTTGGATTTACCATCCATTTTTTGTGTCATTCTTGCAACTAATGATGAAAAAATAAAGAAAGCTATTTTACATCTGTTGGTGAAACGCATTGCCGGAAATCCTTCTTGTTCCTGAAGTATTTTGCAGGCAAATTATACATTATTTATTGATTTGTGCAAGTTTTTGTTTAGTCACAAATAGTCTTGACTAGAAAAAAAGCAGATATTGAACATTTACATATAGTTAACTTTATAGTGGGGCATGTTGTCACAACAGGAGCTGTTACTGATTTGAGTAGATTCGTATAAAAATTAAAATATTATCAATGTTTTCTACATCATTTAAATCCATTGCAGGCTATTTAATGTCTTTTCACCAAAACTTTGAGAATAGAGCAATTCATGAAAACAAAATCTTGAAAAAATAATAATTTAATCTACTAAAACTTAAAAAGTTCAGTTGCTGCCTTAAATTTTTAAGTATAGTCAAATTGTCATTTGAACAAATTATATAAAAAAAAATAAACTAGTTAAAAAAAATATTTGAATACTGTATAACTTACAAATTTAATTATTTGATGAGTTAAAGTAATAGAAAAACATTTTGCCAAGACTTACTGATCATGTTTTTTTTTACAGTGAAACAGTGTTATTTTAGTAACATTGAGATACTTATCTGTTATACATTCTTCTGTTAATATTTTGCATTTTATTTTTGCATTTTTTTATGCTTATTAATTCTAGATAAAGTAGTGTTTTTGTTGTTTTTTAAATATGTCTATATAGTTTATAAATTTTTATTTCAGTATTAGTTATTTTAGAGCATCAAGTTAAACTATTTAAAAATGAAAAATGTTGCTCTGGAAGGTTTTTATATTATATTATATTATATTATATTTATTTATTCAGTTGACATTTATTTCAAGTTGGCATTTTTTTTTGGTTTTAGTTTTTATTTTAGTTAACTATATGCAGAAATATTGCAAATTTGCTATTGCATATGATGTTTAGATGATATAATC